AAAAAAATCAAAAGTTGGTGGGCACGTGCCCCTAGGACCCCCCTGGGTCCACCCCTGGCAATGAGTTCCAATCGACACTATTTTGTACGATGCGAGAAATCAACTATACATTCTATTATTTATGACAGTCACATAAGTTGACAACCCGACTTCACATTGGACAATCAAGAAAGTATAATGTTATTCATCATTAAAAAACCGCTCTATGTGATGTAGGCTTCAATCAACAACATCAACAACAATTATTGCCACACTAGGTGTCAACTACGTTTCATTATGTTCAACAGTCACACGAGCAAAAAAAAAAAACTTTAACACGGGACAAACAAGACAAAATAATATTATTCATCATCAGTGGATCGATCTAGGTGGCAATAGGCTCCAATCAACAATATTTATTACCGAGTAAACTTATATAGCACTATTGGTACTAACGTACAATTTTATGTGACAGTACATGATATGTACAATTAAATGAGTCTCATAACATCAAGTTTAGCCAATGTTTGAGGCATATTAAAATTTTTATTCTCATTATTCTACTCATTTTCAATCATATATCCTTCAATAAAATAATATTTTTCATTACATCAATAACTTTTCCTATTTTTTCAACCACACATTCTCCATCAATTTACTATTTCAAAATACATTCTTTCAAAATAATGTGGCACAAACACAATTAGATTTATCATTTAATGTCATCTATATGTCACACAGGGCATTGTAGCATCAATGATGGTATATAGCATTATTTTTTATAACCATGCTAGGTGTTAACATTGCAATATCATTAGGTTTAATAGTCATGTAACCGGACAAACTGACTTAATATGTAACAAACAAGAAAAATAATGTTATTCATCATTTGTAAACTAGTATAAGTGACACTAAGCTCCAATTAACGACATTTATTACACACCATACATCAATTCTATATCACATTATGTTTAACCGTCACATAAGCATAAGTAGACAAACTGACTTAAAATGGGACAAACAAGAAAGAATATTCATTATTGGTAGACCAGTTTAGTTGGAAATATGTTCTCTTATTCATTGTCCAATGAAGTTGTGATACATTTTAATATATTAGATAACGATTCAGGGGCCACTAGCTCTCGATGAACTCTCTACTAATGATGAATAGCGCTGCTCAATAAGAAAGCTGAGTAACAAAGTTGTTAAAATTTTGATCGCGTGGAGAATGCAAATGGGATCATTAAACTTAGAGTTTGAATTTGACAAGTAGCTCTACGAGAAGAGAGTCAAATTGAAGAACATTTGAGACGGTCAAGTAACGTGATTTTTTATTTATTTAATATTGACATTAATCTTTTTAATTTACATTTAAGTGTCTAAAATTGCCGGTCCATTCAAGCTAATGAAACTTTTACATTAAAAGAAGACGAATGATTTGGTGTAGGGTGACAATGGGCCTAATCAAGCCGGTTCGATCCTTCGACACTTGAGCTTGACAAGTGTTAAAAACCTTACTCGGCTTGAATAGGCTCGTGGGCCTCAAAAGCTGAGTTGAACCATCCATGAGCTGTCTCAATTTTTTTTTTTTTTTGAAACCCTCCTTTTTTTTTCGAGTTTGGAGCCGGTTACTTTTAACGTGACAGAGTTAAAATTACACATGAATAAGATATTACGTATATAATTTTTTTCTAAAACAGTCAGAAAAATTAATGCAAACAATGCTTATAAAGTATGAAGTTATATCTTGGAAATCTTCGACCATTATTCTGTTGACTTTATCTTGGATCTGGACCTTTGTGTCTTTGGTCATTCGAATCCAAATATATTAAACTTTCCATACGAGATGCAATGCATGGAATATATTTTGACAAAGTTCAAAGATCCACATAGATAATGAATGGTTTGAGAAATTTCTCGAGAGACCATGAATAAAACCAATTTGTTCAAATTAATATTCCAATCTGGATTGATATCTAGGTAGAATAGATTGAACTCACATTTTAGAATAATATATGAAAGAACGTTTAATTCCTTTTAAGTAAATATTTATTTTAAAATATATTATTTTATTCTTACTTTTAGTTTCAAAAATTACTTATTATAACAATAAGAAAGAAGTTACCTCCACGCAGCATTGCTCCGTTGGGCTTTCAAAAAATTTCCACAACGTCAAGTTGACACTATTGCTTAGTTATTTCCTTCCATGTCCCCATCGAAAAATAGAACTAAATACTTATAAGTCAAAAGGTCGCTATCTCAACATGTAAGCCCCCTATCACGTTCTCAAAACAAAATAAAACACGGACAACACAAACAACTCAACGACATTACCAAATGCAACCCACAAATTTAAACCAAAATTCAGATATAACTACTTCGTGAACATCTACAGGTTACATGGAAATACCAAAACACTATCTATAACATGCATCAACCATCAAAATATACACATTATTTCCCCATTAAATATAAGCAAGTAACATTTAACAAAATCTGAAAAACATTGTACAGAATACAGTTGGATCAACACACAAAATCGATCGCAAAAATCTATTTTTTCTAAATGCATTACATTTTTTTCACTTATTGTTAGTAGAAAAATGAGCTTCACTATCCACTTAACAGACAACCAAAGTAAAGTTTCATCACAAGCCTTGTAAAATTTTCCTGTAAATTATAGAAACAAACAAGGAAAATTGGAAAACAGAACATTAAAAGAAATGCTTTAAGTTGGAACTATTAGGTCATACTAAATTGGATCTCCCCATCAGCTCGTTCTATGAGCAAACAAGTCTCTCGTAGAACAAAATGTAGCCATGATCTGTGTTACTAGAATACTCCTGCGCTGCACCAAAGAAAGTCTGAACAGCGGACTCCTCAATCGTCTCCACATTCTCGTCGTCAAAAAATAACCAATGGTTGTGACTTTTCACGAGGCTGACATAGTGTCCATGGTTCGGACCGCTCCCTACATGAACTACCACAGCAAACAAGGAATATTCAGCATCTGCATCCTCAACTGTATTGCTTAGCCTTAGCTCGTGTGGGAAGACGACACGGTAAGACAGCTTTTTATACCGGCCCATTTGTTCAATGAACTTAAATCTCTTCAAATGAATGACCAGGATGTGAGGTGGCTTTTTAATCTTCATTCTCTTCTGTGCCTCCTGTAAACTGCACATTGGAACAACACTCGATACCAATTAGTTAAAAACACATGCAGCATTTTAGTTATAAGCTAGTGAATAAGTGTTACTTTTTGTTGCCTAACATGTTGGGATAACTTACTTTTTTTTCCTTACCTTATTGTCAAAGGAAACAGTTCATCCTACCAATGAATTTCAAATAATCACGACCTTTAGGGTTGTAATTAATTGTCGAATTTATAATTTATTTGTTAAATTCAATGGTAGGACGGTCTCCATTGCCAAAATAAGCTAAGCACTTTAGTTTCTACCTCGAACAAGAGTGCCACATGATTCTAGCTATCTATGCTAAAACAACATCTAACAGCATCACCATTGTAATAAGCAACTTATTTTGGCAATGAATACAATTCCTCCTATCAATGAATTTAACAAATAAATCAAAAATTTACAAATAATCACAACCCTTAAATTAAGCTGATCTATGATTCTAAATGTATTTAAATCTTTTATATCCCTATACCCACATCCAAACAAACCCTAATAATTTTTTAATACATCTAAACCATTATATCTGCTTAATTTAAGGATTGTGATTAATTGTCAAATTTATGATTTATTTGTTAAGTTCATTGGTATGAGGAACGGTATCCATTGTCAAAATAAGTAACTTAGTCATTTGATCAATTAAAAAATTACTTATTTTAAGACTCAAATACTTTTTAAGCTTAACCGAACATTCCTTTTTAAGTTCTTCCATTTAAGAATCAAGACTGAGCACTCTAGTTCCTATCTCGAACAAGAGTGCCACATGATTCTTGCTACCTTTTAATGAGATTGAATAATATTACAAAGATCGTCGAAGATTACGGCTTGACGTCTATATTACCATTATAAGTGTACCATATTATAGATAGATTGCTTTTACCATATTTATATTATATATTGTAACTATATAATTCAATGATATCCTACGGGAAGTTCATTCAACCAATTATTCAGCCAAAAGATGAGACGGCAAATCTCTCGTCCCCATATAGCAAAATTACAGATTTGAAGCCCACTAATCTTGATGATGTTTTTGGATCGCTTGATCCTTCGTTATTAACTCAATTGCAGGGTCCAAATGGGATTCAGATTCATCAAAATCGCCGACTTTGTCCAGCAAAATAGGCAATTCTTCAATGCATCGATGACTTATTTTTCGTGGGGTTTGTTGTGATTTCTCTCATACTGATTAGGAGTGTCCTTTGGGGTCGCTCCGACAACTGTTCTTTCTGCCGATGATCTGTACTGTCGGCGATTGAATTTCTCTAGTGAATAGTAAATCCGGGAAGTGTGGATTTGGGCCTGATTTGGGGTTTGATTTATGAAGCGGGGCAACTTACAAAAATATCCTTACAAATATCCTTAAAATTAAGCATCTTTTGAAAAATCATATGAAAAGTATTTTGAAAGTAAAAAATAATGTATAAAATTAATTCTCTTTTTTAATAGAAAAAGTGACACAATCATAAAACAGTGACACTTTTTTATTAAAAAATGACATATATGCAAACCTATTGCTGCAGAAGTAGGAATAATAGCACCTCCGATCTACCCAATGTCGTCACTTTCATTAAAAAGTAAAGTTTGTCACTTAAAAAAGTGATAGAAATTTTAAAGTGACAAGCCTTGAGGGTTGCTCAATTGATTAGACCTTGAGTTTGCTCTCCAATAGTCACTAGTTCGAAATCCCCCAGGCCACTGAGATGAGTACTCGGCCGTAAACTTCAGGGTCTCGTGGAATTAGTCGAGGTACGCGTAAGCTGGCCCGAACATCCACGGTCATAAAAAAAAGTGACAAAAAAAATGAAAAACACTAAAAAAGTGATAAAAATTCAAAAAAAAAAAAAGCGACAAATACTAAAAAAAGTGAAGTAACGAACTCTAAAAAATGTGAAAGAAATTCAATAAAGTAACGAAACACCAATTAAAACATTAGATTCAATTCAATAAAGTGACAAAAATTAAAAAGTAAAAATAACAACCACCGTCTCTCCTCTTCCTCCGTTCACCGCCAAGCATTTTAAAGTTAGTTTACCGACAAAACACAAATCAAAACGCCAAACATCTTTTAAGTCAATTCATGGGCACCGTCATCTACCAACTCAGCCAACCTATTAATCATATAAAAAAAAATTGGAAGTAAAAATGATATATAAAATTAAGTGTATACAACGTCACTTTTATTAAAAAGTGATGTTTGTCACTCAAAAAAGTGACAGAAAAAAGTGACAAAATATTAAAAAAAATGATAAAAACTAAAAAAAATGATGTAAATTCAAAAAAGTGACAAAACCTCGAAAAAGTGACAAAACATCAATAAGAACTTTAAAAATATATTATTTTATGCAAATTCAACTACTCCACCTCCACAACCACTCTCCACCTCCATCAGGCATATATATGCGGTTTGTAGAATAAAAGGGGAAAACATTGTTGGCTTTGTCACATCTTAAATATATGAGGTGGAAGGTATAGAAAAGCAAAATTGACATCCTAGCTACAAAATCACACACGATAGAAGCTACTTGCAAGATTTGACTTTTACAAGTGAATAAAATCACGGTGTTCATAATACATCAAATTTACGTCAAAAAACAGAGAAAAAAGGAATAGAAGAATTCAGATCACAAGGATCATCACCTGCTCCACCACCATCCCCCCCAAATCCCGTCGCTGCCGCTTCTCCACGCCATCGACACAACCACCATCCTCCTCTTTCTCTGTCTCCACCACTACTACTAGCAAACCCAAGCCTAAGCACAAATCTAAGCCATTTACTACTACATCTCCACTTATATCCATTGTCTGGTGAGACAATCAAGAAAGCTGAGGTATTATCCAAAGAGACAGCATTTATTGAGCCTCAAAAAGCAAGAAGTTTGCCATTTTTGATTGGAGGAGTTTAATTAGCAAGCATCGTAAAAAGGCAAGAACTAGAAATTAGGTTCCACCACAACTTCCCCATGATTTTTCCTAGCTCATTTACTCGAAACTTCAGCTTCTTTTGGCCTTCTATTTGATATAAATTGATCCTCTTCGGGCATAAATTCTTAAAGGCAAGATATTGCAAGAGCTCTTAAGGGGACTCATCGCACAATATAAAAACCCTCAATTCCATCCATTCAACTTATCAAAAGGTAATGGAAGAGATCTTTCACAGAAGAACGGAATGGTAATTTTCAGAAGGGTGGGGGTGGGGTGATTCTAGTAGAACATTGCTTTTCTACTTCTTAATTTTGTGAAGATAATCTTAGTTAAAATTAAATTAAAGATATTAAATATATGGGCACTTGTTCTCAGACCAGCAGAAGTCATAGATGACGAATACAATCCAAGAAAATATTTAGCTTCAGTCCATGTCAAAGCTAATATTATGTCGAACCTCATTCTTATCAATGAAAGAAAAGTTCATCCAATAAAAGGGTGAATGATACTCAGGTTAGATTATACACAGTATCTAAGCGAATGTTATTTACCTGCAACACTCGTCGCAGAAAAATTTGTCTTCTGCATTTAAAGTCTCAGTTGAACTGAAATTTTTCAGACAGCTTGTAATCGAACTGTTTTGCTCAATATCAAGACTCAAATCAAGAAATGTTTCGTCCCTTGCTGTCACCGTCTCACAGCGTAAGCACCTCGTTTCATTTGTCAAAATACCCTGCACAGAAATGGACATATATGAATTCCTTAGTAGTTCCAATAATGCTACAAAAAACAAAAATTTAATGCATCCAAGAAAACTTAACTAGTTGTTCGATAACAATAATAGAACAGAAAAATCAGAAAATACCAGCCACTGCTTTTCCGGCCCTAGCCAGAAAATAACAGAATGGGTTTTAAATGGCTTTAGATTCATCATGCAGCTTAAATTTTGATAAATGTAGCCAATTAAATAAACACAAATGATGCACAGAACCACAAAAATGAAGAGAAGCGGCACAAATTTGCAGTTTCTTGCCACTTATTATACATTACAGGTCACAAGGAAGCAAGAGAACGAATGGAAACAAAATTCACCTGGAAATTTTTATGCACCCAAGTGACTATAAGCTCATTCTGAGGACCATTGACAGACATCTCATTTGGTCCATTATCAATCTTTTCCGATGGAGATGAAGATTCTTGATTACTCTTAGAAGTATGAGCATCCTTCTCCAGTATGTCAACCAGTTCATTCAACAGATAGTTGAGAAATTCATGAGCATCCTAAAATAAGATATGAACAACATTAGTAGATCGAAGCTGTTTTTACACATGACATATGAAGGAAACAGGCATTAATTAACACAATCCTAAAATCCAGGGGGTAAAAAAGACATTTTAGAGATTTATACAGTTCATAATCCAAAGTGAAATTTTTACTTCATCAACAGAATATTTCATAAGAAAGAGCAGCGGGATAAGGTCAGACTCAGCAGTTCAAGAGCATGTGCATGTGCATAATAGAATATATTAAAAAAATTCCTAGATAGAGGCAACCTGTATAATAATCGATAAAGTCTCAAAAGCATCAATTCTCCTCTCGCATGTCAAAAGAAGAAATGAGTATGTGCAACTATGAAAGTGAAGCACAATAAAGTACCTCTGTCTATTTTTCGAAAAAGCATTATGACGAAAGTAATGCTTTCAGTCAACCAAGAAGCAACAAATATTTATGCATACACAATGGATGAAAATTCATTTGAAAAGTGGGTATATGAGAAGTTTGAGAAACTATGAAAGCAATCAATAATTCTGGCATAACAAATTTTATATTTTATTTTATCACATATGCATCTTAATAAAATATCTACATACACAATGACACATTGCTTTAGGAAATGGATTAAAGATGGCTGGACATAGATTGAATTAATTATAGATAATTGGTCCATAACAATCACTATAGTCTACAGTTTTTTTCCTGGCACACATAATTTGAAGTTTTCTTACCTTTGAACCCCATGCTTTTAATATTGTGACCTAACCCCTATCTTCCGCCACTGTCCTTAACAGTCATCCACGCATTACGAGCAAAACATATTAGCAAATTTGATCAAATTCACATCAAAGAATGCATGTCGACTTTTAAAACCTAAGACAGAGAGTTAAACACACTATTGCACACTACCAATTCATTTCCATATCTGGGCAGAAATACCTTTGCCATCCTAGGTTATTGGAAGTGCAAAATAACAATCTGTTGATTTCATGATTCACTAAATTCGTCTAAATCTAAATTATCTAAATGCCCTGCTCTTTAAGCATTCAAATGTTAATATTTGTCAGTCTAAGTAATCCAAAAGCTGATACCCAACTGACAAGGGACATATGACATTATATATTAACTCAACGGTTAACAATATAATTTCTACCATGGCATAATATATCCATGATTTTTATTTTATTTTAAAAGTAAAATTAGTCAAAGTGGCCTTTATATATATATATATATATATATATATTCAGTGATAGTACAATTTGTATAGGATCCTCAACAAGGAAGGTTACACATACCTGGTGCATATAGCTACGAAAAATTTCATTTTGCTTCCTCAATCTCTGTACAAACCGCTTAGGAGCAATAACACCAGTTTTTCTCTTTTGCGAGCTTATCTACATGGAGAAATGTGTGTAAGCCCACCAAAAAGCAAATATATGTCGGCGAGCTTGTGTATGTGCACATCTGGGGTGGGGAGGGGGTATCACTGAAATCACAGAAGGGGCAGGAACTAGCATTAAACTTTGGATCCTTCTAATATAAATGAGAAAGACCATTCCATATATCATAAAACATAAATGTTATGATCCAACAAGTCACATCTCATCAAAGTTCTTGTGCAAGTTTAACCTGCTGGCCAGAATCAAATTTAGCACCATCTAATTCGACTACCTTGGAATTCCTCAACCCAGACTCCCCTACATGAACCCGTTCCTGTCATGCACCTCATCACTGCTAACAGACTATTATACAAACATCTTCAAATAGTGACTCAGATTTGTGTACAATCACAAAATTAGACATGGAGACCAAACAACAATCCGCCTTGTCAAAGAACGCTTTATGATTCTCAACAAGATATGGTCTTTTAGTACAATAATATTGGGCAATGACAAGTCCAACATCACAATGTTTCCTTCACAGGTTATGCTCCATTTTCTAATAATGTCATGTGCTGCAAATGATCCTAATTGTAAACTTTTTCTTGAATGATCAGGGGAGAGAGAAGATAAGGTTGAAACTTGAATACAGTTACTGGTCTTTGCAATCTTAAACCAATTTGTTTGTTGATCAGGTGTATGATATCCTAAAGTACAGATATTGCAAATTGCAAGATGTAATGAATTCATTCAACCGATCCATTTTCTAAATCAAGTATTTTCAAATTCATCTTGGAATTTAGCAACAACAGAAATCATATGTTTCCCAACTATTTTAGCCTCCAGGTAACCAACCTAGAAGGTATATCTAAGCAAGAGAACCACGATTGACTTGTATACACCAAAAGACAATGAGATCAAAAGCACAATCCATGGATTTTCCAACCACGTAATTTGACAAGATGGTCTGCCTTTTTTGAAATATGCTTACCTGTGAAAATAAATCTGCTAGGCAAGTCAAGAGATTTTCATCCACATCAGCAGGACTTTTGTTATTTGAATAATATTCTAGCAACTGCTCACGGAATGGAACGCAGAAATAAAGAGTCTGCATTGAATGGAGAATGGAATTAAAAAGAATGCTGAAAAACAAATTATTAATTATATTCAGTATGAATGGTTTCTTAACTCAATGAAACAATAATAGAAACTCAAATATCACAAAATGCTCGATTAATATAGTTACTAACTAATACTGATGTGGTGCATCAACGTCTTATAATTGGTGCACCACAATAGAGCAAGGATCATGATTTACACACACCTCTAACCCATGTCATCATTACAAGAGAACAATCATTAACCAAATCAATCATTTTTGAGACACACTAGCATGGGATAAACAAAGTGGGTTCAACCAAGCACTACAGATAACATATTTAGCCCCTGTTTGATACACATTTTTTCAAAATACATTATTTCAAAATTCATTTTCAACCACACATTCTTCAATAAAATAATATTTTCAATCACATCAATAACTTTTCTTACCTTTTAACCACATATTTCACATCATATCACTATTTAAAATACATTCTTTCCTCAATAATATTCATCAAACACACCATTAATTGATTCAAGTTTTGAATTAACTTTTGCACTTCAACTGAAATCAAGGGTGAATACTCCAGAATAAAGGATCCATAATGTACAGATGTGACGATCTATCCAGTAATATTATGCATGCAAGTAAAGGAGTTACAGTTTAAGCATGAAGACAATAAGATGTAAAGAACAGACATAACTCAAATTTCCTTTTCCTGGAGAAGAAAAACTAAACTTCAATAACGATGCTATTTTAGTTCAAACCTATGGAAGAAAGAAAGGCAAACTACATAAATTCTAAATATGTCTCAATTCTTTTCTCATTTTTTTCCATTCTCCCCAGGTTTCTTTCAGAAGTTATTTAGAGAGATATCCTTGGCCTGTCACATTTGTTTGTTTTCTATTCTCCAGTTCCAAAAAGGAACCAGAAAGAGTACGTCTTGACATCCCCTCCCCCCAAAACCCCTTCCCACCCAATCTCTTCAAAAGGGCACAACTAAACCAAAAACAATCTACCGTCTCTATTCGAGCAATGCAAGTCAATTGTCATAGGTAAATTCTGGTGAAAAACAGCAAATTCACCATCATTTCTTGCGAACTAGTCAACACAAAGAAAAATGAAATATTGTATATATCCTTGTATTCACTGGGAATTTTACCACATCAGTTTCAATACCAAGCAAAAAATAAAAAATACAAAAGATAATCCAATCACATATAACAGTAAAAAGTTGGTTGTAATTAATCTCTCAAGCAAGCACAGCTGATGAATCGCTAAATTCACATATTGTTACAGTCACGTATATAAACATAGAATCACAAATAACTACACATTCACTGAGAAATTTATTTACTCCAATTCAACAACCAAGCAAAAATATCCAATCACGGATAAACAGTAAAAAAATTGAAATGAATCTCCTAAGAACAAAACTAATAAAAAGACTAAGTTCATAACTGATTCCACACACATGGACAAACATAAAAACGCAAATAACTGCACACAGATATAGAGAGGATTGAAATGTGAAGTTAAGAAACCTGAAGAACGCTGTTGCAATAGCAAGTGTTGCCGAAATTCTCGAGGCCAAAGTATCGCTCTCCTTCAGGGAATTGGTCTCCGAGTGCCTTCTCCAGTTTCGACCCCGCTGCCCCCATACCTCCTCACTTCATGCAAAACCTCTGTATCTATACTGTATGTGTATATATATGTAATTGATTTTTGTCGGAATTATTTAGGGTTTGACTGAGAGAGATGAAATCGGAAAATTATAATTGGTGAATTTGATTTGCGATTGGAATGGGAGAAAAATGCGATGAAGACAACAGTTCTCCAATGGAGGTGAAAAATTAATCCATGGAACTTATCAAAATAATCTTTTATTTTAAGCTGGAAAGTTATTTTTTTCTGAATAAAAAAGTTAATTGTTTTAAAAATAAGTAAATTTCTTAGCTCATAGCTTACCCAAACAGAAGAATCTATGAAGAGAGTGAGGGACAGACAGGATTATCAAGAACAAGATGACTAGTTTCTCCATATACTCGCCTTGTACCGTTCCCTTCCCTGCGAAATGCAAACCCTTTTCTTCCTCCTTTAATGGCATTCGAATTGTGCATTACTGCGCACCCAGCGCCTCATCCACTCGGACTTCACACTCTTCTTCTACAGTGGTTATGATGACGAATAGAGGAGGAATTGAAAGAAATCAGAACCAAAACAACCGAACAGCTTAACGAAGAAATGTAGGAAAAAATGTGCCACGTGGCAGACAATCTTTTTTTTTAACTGCCCACCACATTTTGAAAACATTGAGGATGCCATCCTCAATGTAAGAATAAAACTGTACACACAGCTTCATTCAAGATTTTGAAGCTGCATATATTAACATCTGAATTGTGTTTACCTTTTGACTCCTTAATGTTTTCAAAATGTGATGGGCGGGAAATCAGTTTTTCTTAAATTATCTAATGATGCGTAGTCATGTCCCATGATGTAAAAGAAGACGTAAAAAATGTACATGTAACGTGATTGCAAAATATTTTTATGCATTTACACTTCCCAATTCCCAATCTCACAATCAATTAAAACCCTGAGGACATCAAATTCAAACATTATCCCTACTTAATTAATTAAAATCTGAAGTCTGCTTAATAATGCTATCTAGTCTTCTGTACCAAACTTGGCATAAAACTAAAACTTGCAAAAGAAGTCAGTACACAGTCGGAGAGAGTACCGTTTTGCACATTCGTTGAAACTCGCTGGACTTGAACTCCTTATGAGCGGAGCGTTGAAGGTGGCGCATGAAGAGCTCTCCTTTTAGGTCGACAATTTCTTGTTAGAAAAAATAATCATGAACGAATACCGATTTAACAAATACCGAATTTACAACTTACCAGATATGCAACAAACATATCGTATATACAACCAACAGAAATATCGGATTTGCACACACCGAATTTGCAAGTACCATATATGTGACCAATATTGTACATGCAATAACTTACTGAATAATAGCTAAGATATAGTGGATTAAATAATTTGTTAATCACAACAAATAAAATAAATTATATAAATCACTATAAAATAGAACAAATAATTTAAATAGTAAAGAATAAAAATTCAATTGAACTTTAAAAATAGAGACATATTTGAACACAGTTTCTTTAAAGTTTATTTCGGTCCGTGATTTGCAACCTCTGCGCGCACACATGGAAAGAATTTCTATGCTACACATGATTACAAACTTTTAAAGTGTAGCCATATATAAAGTGATTCTTACTTTCATATACTTCATATGTGGAATAAACTCAAATTTAGTTTTTCCTCCAATATAAATCATATTCCAGTGGTTCATTTTGAACTACAATTTCTCATTCATTATAGCTTAATTTTTGACAAGTAAATACATGATTTTGATGTTTTCGCGGAGGAGAACACAAATCAACGTTGATCTTACAAAGTAAACAAACGGTTAGCCAAAAAATTTATGTCAAAGTCAGTCATTATCTCATTTGAGCAATGCTAGAGGTACATCGGGGTGTACATCACGGTGTACATCCCCCTCACATGGGTAAGGGGCCCATTTAAATATTTTATTTGAGTGGGCCCTTCCATGTGAGGTGACGTACACCTTGATGTACATCTAGCATTTTTCTTGCTTTTTTAATGACAGATTGGTACTTGGTAGTGTCATTGAGTAATTAAAAATTGAGCCAACAATGAAGAAAGATCGAAATGATTTCCACTTTCATATAAATGTTGGAATGGATTTCTAGTGCTTTTGGCACTCAGTCATTTCAGCTTTTCCCTTGATTGGCCTGCATTACATCTATAGTTGTGAATTCTGATTGCTCCTAGATAAGGTGCTTGATGTTCTTGAGTTTGTTGATGAGCTTCTAAATTTTGATGCTCATTTTATCTACTCTCTTTACCTGTACAGAAGTTGACGGGTATAGGGTTCTCGTATAATATTCTAGTAGCAAATGGTTCTTCAATCTATATTCTCATAACTATGTTAAGTAGCTACAATATTGTATATAGACTCAAAACACTACTTCCAATGTTTGATACCATCGTTGAACTATCTCATCTAAAAACTTAAGTTGGTAGAGAAGACAAAACTACTTTGTTGTCAATGCTCCCTCATGCATTTTCCGGATTTCATTTTATCATCCAAAGTCCGACACGTGGGCATTTCTCATAAATGGGCAGCGGTGAACTTGATCTCAGAATTTTAATGTACCATATTGAACCACCTCGTTTATAAGTTTAACGGTAAGAGAGAAGACAAATCTAACTTCTTATTTTTTGTTCTCAGCACTGATTATTAGTATTCTAGGTTAAGTAAATCAATGAACACCAGTGTGTTTCCCTGTACAAGGACATGAACTCGACGCACATTGGGAACGATAGCAGGTTCAACAAGTAACATTTTTTTCGTTAGGATCAGTTGACTAAAAAATTTATATGGAGTTTTTAGTTGTACCAACTTGCTATACAAGGTTCAAACTTCACCTTGCTGCCTCTAGAATTCCAGATATGTGAAGGCTTCTTGTGTATGCCTGAAGGTATTACGTGTTCATATTTGGAGCAACACAAAACACTATCAACTGCTGCAGTAATTTTAGGTTGTGTTTAATGCCATGAAGACTTCTTAAGAAGGGCTTTGTTCTTCTGATTTTTTTTATCGATAATGACTCCCCGTAAAGCGGGGATGGTGATAATTTGACTGGATTAGATCTGAATTTCATTGTGTGTTGTTCGAACCAAGTCCAAGTTCTAATATATTATAAGTCAATCAGTGCAGCCTCTACTGCTCTCATGTCTGTACCTTTTGGAAGACTGCTGTCAAGTTGCGAAAGGTTTACATTTGAATAATTGAATAGCTTCTTTGGTTCACTTCACTAGAGGAAGGGTAAAGGGCTATGTTTTTTATAAGAATCCTTGGATTTAGAGTTGGTTTTACTAATTCATCTCTTCTTAACTTGAAGATCCCTTCCCAACTAGCCACATCGTGTTGCTTCCATTATGAACAAGATATTTCTTCATGTCATGTTAAGCTCTCGCTTTCTTTTCTTTCTTGTTTACCCCTTTTCAATTTGACTTTGTAACAAATGCTCTCTAATTTGAAAACAGATTGCTCGTATGCTCACAGTTAAGAGGGAGAGAGAGTTGGAGGAAGGAATTAACAAGAGGTTGTCAAGAAAGCTCGGCCGGAAATGGAAGAAAAGCATCATTCCTAGACCACCTCCATCTCTGAAGAAATTACAAGAGGAGGAGGCAGCAGCAGAAGCCTAGGAATCAACATGAGTTTCACTAACCTACTCTTTCTTTTGGAATAATGTTATTTAGCATCATTTTAGATGTCCACGTTTGACAAGTTCAATTAAATAAATCATGTGACATTATATTTAAGTAAATATATCATTTAATGTCGTGCAGCTATCACCTAAACTAATGCTAAACTGTGGTGGCGCTAAATAGTATTACTCTTTCTTTTGAGAAAATTTACACACCTCTTATTTTAACACCGATTCTCTTCAGGTTTTCGATACTACAAGTAACGCCTTTAATTGTGGCTCGAGTTGTTTCAAACTGATCTGTCTGTAATTTACCATGCTTGTCGCATTGTTGAGGACTATGTACGCATTAATTTGTCATGAGAATATGAATACAAGTAAAATTCAAAGAGAGCCAATTATAAATTTAAAACTTTCTGGTAATTAATATTGAAATATAGCTACAAATGATTTATCATTACAATTCTCAGGTCAAGAATACTGTACTTCAAGAAAGTTACATTACATCAAATGCACACGGAAATATCACCTATTTCAAAATTGCACGTTGCAAGATGTTCCATTATCGTATTTGCACACGAGGAAAAAGGACTGACTATTACAATGTAACTGAGGAAAAGAAACAGGCAAAAGCACAAGAACACGATGGGTTGCTGAGTTATGGGATAAGTCATGCTTCGTTGATCAGGCAACCTAGTACTGGAAATTGATAAACTTGTTTGGTTTCTCTCTGTTACCTTATCGTCCTCCAGACAACTCAATAGCACTTTGATCTTGAATTGAATTGTCTCCCCATTCAAATCTTCTCTGCAATCTCTCGTACTCGTGCCTCTGTGTCACTTCCGTGTGTTGCCACTCTTCCCACCTCTCTGCAAGCCCTTCTCCTTCAAGCATTCGGACAACAACCGACATTGCTGGGCGATCTTCTGGTGATGATTGAGTACAGAGCAATGCAACCTGAACCATCATCTCGACTTCTTGGATGATGTAGTTTCCATTTAGGTTGCGATCTATGATAGAATCCAGACTTTTCTCCCTTTGCAGTTTCTTAACCTTCAAGGCAATGTACAGAGGATCAATTGAGGAATAAACCGGTCATATCCCCAAAAAGAAAGAAATGTGCGACATATTGGTGCAACTTGGAAAGTGTAGAAATAATTGCTTTATCTTAACTAGTTTTACAAGTCCTCATACCTACCCTCCCATTAAAACTAAATAACACGACAACCCATGACTCACCTAACTCCCCAAGCAATGATACAGGAATAAGAAATCTGAAAATGAACAAAGAACCCAGATTTAAAGTGGTTCACCAGCAATGTGGGAGCTACGTCCACTTGCTGCTGCTGATTTTTTACTACAATGAAGAATGAGATTACAAGGTTTCCTCATCTCACAATGAGTCATTTATATCTAATGAAACCGGGTCGATCCACGAGTGAATAAATGAACTATATAATTAGGCTCCACGCAATCCAACAACCGGAACAGAATCAACAGCCACTACTGTCAGCACCATTTTCACTTCCACCATAAGTTGCCACCACCACAATGCAAACCTAGATAGACCAAACATTCATGACCTAGATCCCTCCACCACCATAGCCACGTGCATAAAGTCAGTCAGAAACTGCAATTTATCCCTCCTAACCTTACCAAAGGCACAACTGGTCAATGAGGAACCCATTGATCACCACCTATATGATCAGGTGAACTTTGACGTAAGTGTGCTAAACTGTTTGTGCGGGTACATGCATTAAAACGTGTACAAAAGTAGAAAGATTACTCATAAAAGCATGCAGTAGACATAAAGAAACACACATGCACATTGACTTGCATAGAAAATTAAGAAAAGACATGCAAAATAACATATGATTGCTATCTTACATGGTCAAGCAGCAAAACATCATCTTCTTCTTCCAAGCGTGAGAAGTCTATGGCCCGCTGGCCTGTTACAAGCTCTAAAAGCATGATCCCATAGCCAAAAACATCCGTCTTTTCTGATGATTTTCCGGTCGACAAGTATTCAGGAGCAATGTGACCCATTGTACCACGAACTTGAGTTGTAACATTAGTCATTCTCACGTCAACTAACTTTGCCAAGCCAAAATCGCCGACAACTGCTTCAAAATCTTCATCCAGCAGGACATTAGCAGCTTTAACATCCCGGTGAATAATTTTAGGATTACAATGCTCATGAAGGTACTCCAATCCACGTGCTGTGCCCAATGCCACATGTTTTCTAGTAGACCAATCGAGAACAGGCTCCCCAGGTTTGAGCTCTGTATCATAATTCAGAATAACTGTTAAGAAAATTGGAAGTGCATGCCAAAATCAATCTACTGTAATTTCTACATTAAAATATCATCTCAAAAAATTGTGGTGAACAAATTAGAAAACTCAACCTGCACCAGTCTTGTGCAGTTAATTTTTGGGGATGAAGATTACCAGAAACAGCCTATTTTTTTACAATCCTATACATTTTGATTTTGTGAAATCCTTGATCTACAATTTTAATCACACTCAAGTTAAACCTTAAGCATATGAAAACAATGAGAGACTTCTTGCTCAGTGTAAAAGGTTACGAAAGCATGTCAAAGTAATTTGCTCTCCTGCATTTTTCTTTTATATTAAGCCGCTGTTTGGCCACCATTTTCTAAAAATCATTTTCCTCAAACTCATTTTCAACTAAACATTTCATGAGCCCCACAACTTTTATCAATTTTTCAACCAAGCATTTCATCAACTTTTATTTAAAGGGGCTTATAAGAAAAATAAAAACGATTTATTATAACGTAGTTCATGATATAGATATCATTTAAGATTTACAAAAGACATGGCCTTTTTTATATGAGCCATATTCTGGTCAAAGAAAGAAGACAGATTTTCAAATATGTATATCCCCTAAATGGTAAATCAGTCATTAACAAAATATATATCAACTTTCACAGAAATAAATTATAGGATTGCAACTGCAATGATAGAATATTAATGTAATTGTTGAACCACTTTATCTAAAATCTTAATATGTTAGATAGAATCAAATGTATATCTTTTAAATATTATCATCAACATGCCCACTTATATGTAGGCGAGATTTATTTTTTCAACCAAAGTTTAACACGTACACAATCAATAAGATGGGTGACAACAAAACTTGAACTCAAGACATTTATGTGCTCTAATACCATGTTGAACCACTCGATCTGAAAGCTTAAGTTTTTAGATAGAACCAAAATATATATCATTTAAATATTTTCCAATAATAAAAAATACCTCGTAGACGAGAGGCAACACTTAAATTTTGCATAAAGGGATAAACCAGAAGGCGTTCTGTCGGTGTAGTGCAAAATCCAATCAATCGTAAAAGATTTTTGTGAACAGCCACGCTTATCATCTCAACTTCACGCTGGAATGCTGTATCGCCACCAGGACTCTCGAAATCAGTCAAACGTTTAACAGCAATTTTCGTGTTATCTCCAAGCATTCCTTTATAAACCTTCCCAAAACCTCCCTGTCCAAGAACATTCTTTTCACTGAAGTGGTCTGTAGCGAGTTGCAACTCTCTCCATGCAAATCTTTTCAATTGCCCAAATTCAATTCTCTGGTCAACTTCACCTGTGCATGCAAAAAGAAATATATCAAAGAAGTAACAGATCAAATGTATTTCGAATTTTGAATTTTCAACCAATAAAAAATATTTCCAAACTCCAGTAGAGAAATGGTGTGGGCTGCTCATAGATTTTAAAGATACGAAAATCGAGCGCACAAATAAAACTAATGAAATATTTATACACCATGTATAGATCATAATTTGAGTGCCTAATTATGATACATAGGAATTGTGACATCTTTCTGTAACTCAATTTAAAAAATTGTCATGACAGATTACTGTGGAAATACAACACCCAGTTCAAGAGACAAAACTGGGAACAAGTTGTTCGAAAGGGCACACATTTATTTATTCAAATCGTCAACATTATTTAGTAATATCACAATAAGCAACACAAACCTGCAACATCTACAAAAACTTCACGCCTGTAGCCTCCGTGCCTACCCTTCCATATGCAGAACAGGAAAAAGCCCCCAAGAATAAGAATACCTATGAGCGCACCAACAACCCCAGCAATCACGCCAGTCTTTGATTTATGTGATTTATCTGCGAAGATAGCAATCTATTACTTTATGTATATATTTTTTTATCTTTATATCTTATTTGAAACACTTGTTCAATCTTCTTGAGGTTTCATTTTCCATTTTCAAGAAGAAACACGTATATTCACTTGTGCAGCTCCTTTATTCAGCCCCCCTGATGTTTTACAAACTAGAGAAGCAGTAACGTTTCACAAGGTGCATATATGATGCATATTTTTCAGAACGTATGCTTCTACATTTACCTCCAACATCAGATTCACAACGGTGGGCAGAATTGATACCACAGTTCAAGTGGTTCCCTGTAAAACTGAAATAAGCAACTTAAGTTAAACTGCTTTTGATCTACAAAATTGAGTGGAAAGGAGCAAAGGTGACGACAATCAATTAATATCACAAGAAGCAGTAACACCCATCCCCATGTACGTGCGCGCGATCACATACATTTGTCTGTTCATATATATACATTATATATAATACAGAGAGAGAGAGAGGGAGGGGGAGAGAGAGAGAGAGAGAGTTCATACTTGTATCTGGAAACCTGAAATAATTGCTCAGGTATTTGGCCACTCAGATCATTCGAAGCAAGCTGACTGCAAAAAAAGTGTTATCAGTGCCATATAAAACTGAATAGGTAAACGTGGACAAGTTTATTGCTTAACGTTAAAAATTTCATTGGACGGTGAAAAGGCTCTGAATTCGTCAAGTAAAAACGTTTAAGTTGCCATAATATACTATACTACAAGACACTTACATGCTAACCAAGTTTGGAAGATTTGACAGTGATTCAGGAATTGATCCCGTGAGATTGTTTTGACTTATAATCCTGCTTGCATGAACAAACATCTTACTTCTGATAAGATTAAAATTGGGAAGATGCTTATGAAATTCTTACAGTATGCTTACAAGTAAGTGAGATTCTTTAGGTTGCCAAGGGAATTTGGTATTTCTCCAGTTAAACGGTTATTTTCCAGATCCAACATCGTCAAACTTGTCAAATTTCCAAACTCCTCAGGTATCTTACCAGTTATACCATTTCCTTGCAATGATCTGCAGTAAACATCCGTATCAACTAATTGATTGTAGGCAGTTCAGTGAAGACATCTCGAGTGGATGATGACAAAAAGTATTTCTACTTTATGTTTGCTAACATATATTCTTTTGAAAATAGACATTTCTTCCAAAAATAGAGTTCTTGAAAAAACAATCACTGTTTTCTTAAAAAAATTGTTTTAAGGAAAAAGGATATAGTGAATCCCAGGATAAGTGCCATCACAGAATCCCCTTATAAAACCTTGTTTGCATTACAATCAACACCTGAAACTTAACATTGGAGTAATTGCTGATGATGAACTTCATATATCAAGACAAACTTTAATCTCTAGGATTACCAAAAAGACGAACTCTTAAGTACATCATAATGAGTCATAGCTCATTAATATCAAACTTCCCGACTTAACAACCCCCTCTCTGCGGCTATGGAAATTTAGGCTTCATAGTATCTGGTTTGGAATATTAAATTCATTTAAGCGGATTAGTTCCCTAAATGTCCTAGATTCGGATAGCCAGATAAGTCACCAAGGATCTCACATATATAATGAAATGATCAATTCTAATACAGCAAAACTCTAAGAGTACAGTAGTGTATTTTTATTTTTTGTTGGTAAGACATCTATGGTGGATTTGCAAGCAAAAGTTAATCCAAAAAATATTAGAATAAACATGCAGAGGCCAAAAGAATTGGTTTGTGAGAAATTGTTATCAATGAAGAAAAGATGTCATAATAAAATGACTCTACGATTTAGTAAGAAAATATACTGCTCGCTATCTTAATAGATAATGATAACAGGAGCATAATATTATAAGAGAAAAAAATTCAACATAGCACCCAAAAATGAAGACCTACACAGATGTTTATTACTCCCATCAAAGATAAACAAACATATTAATTTCTAAAAACACAGAGAGAAATTGCATCAGGCAAATTATGGTAACCAAAACTAGAATAATTACACAAACAACAAACTGTATTGCTTCAACTTCCTACACATACAGTGACTGTAGGGTCGTCAAAACCCCTAATCTTGGAGACAAGGTTCCGGAGAATCCCATATTAGTCAGTGACCTGCAAAAAGATACATGATCATGCATCACATCTTACTTTTAAAAAAAAAGAAGAAGAAGAAGAAGAAGAAGATCATGCACCAGCTATAAAGCTGGAAGTGACACAAGGAACAAAACGTTTTCTGAATGCAGCAACTTCTGACATTCAGGAAATGGTATTTAAGCATACACATATTCAGGAGGAAAATTTCTTATCACGAAGTTTCTTACAAGGTGACAACTTTGTTATTACTGTCACAGATAACTTTGGACCAAGTGCATGGATTGACTAGATTCTGATTCCAATCAATGAGCTGAACAGCATTTAGTGAACCCTTCAAAGCATATAATGCATCTCCTGAAACAGGTGCCAAGAATATGAATTATCCACTAAAGTAATTTCGCCAAACCCACACATTCAACTTTGAAATAAGAGGTCTAAAATTCCATATCTCCGGCTGAAGCTCATTATACTGTAAAAAAATAAAAAACCAACATGGCAAAACAGAAAAATGTGAAGCCAGAATGAAAAACCAAAATGTCTTCCATTTCTGCAGACAAGGAGAGGGGAGAAAGGTATATAGAAAATTGCCTCGTGAAACCTTTCCTATCATTCACTCGATATACAACTATTACTTCCATCAGTAGTTCCCAACCTATTATGATAAAGGACACAACAGGCCAGCCCAATATGTTCTACTTTCTTCTACTGATATGAGAACTCATAATGGCAGAAAGAAAAAATGAAGTGAGATATAAAAATGAATGTATATTCTACAGCAGTTGGATGACTTATACAGTGACAATTAGCATAATACCTTGGGCATCAGGTGAGACGAAAGAATGCAAAAATGCCAGTGATATAACTGCAATAAGCAGGTCCATCTTCATTAATGCCATAGCAACTGATCTAGATCAAGTCAGAATCTGCTTCCAGTCATAACTTCATACATTTCCCTTTTTACATGTATAAGCATCCAGCCTCTATCAAGTATTCAAACAATGCATTCAAAGCATTAGACTTTTTATTTAGCTTCAAAAGCTCAATATGTGATACTACCCTAAAAAGGCAAGTAAGCATTGATATCAAGTATAAATTGATGGGGTGGGGAAAAGGATGATGGATAGAAGATTGATTGTTAAGCAAGACCTGCATTTGTGAAAATCAGTTAAGTCATAGGTCATTGCTTTGCCAGGTAGAGATAATCTATAATTATTGATTTCTTAAGAGGGAAAGCTTCTAGGATCAAAACCAATTGAAAGGCAAATAAAGCTGAAAGAATTCCCATTTAATTGCACAAGACCCCATGGGTAATAATGCGTTATGGACTAAGCCTTAATCACACGAGCAATAAATAAAAACAAGCAAAGCTAACATGTGTACAGTGATTACTGGCTCTGTTAAGAGAGAAACCCCATATAAATGTATTAACTAGCATATATGGACTTGGGTTACTCCTCTTATTCCTTTTTAAGATAGAACCTCAATACCCAATATGATAAATAAGCTCAAACAAACAATTTGATCAGTTTAGAGCTCAAACAAGTATTCGGCTTCCGAGATTGGTGTGATCAAATGAATCACCATCTTGCAAGGAACATATTAAGGGAAAATTTTACATTGATTAAGTATACAAATATTTAACAATAATTAAGGGTCTGAGCTACTTTTTTTTTTCAATCTTTTAAATGTAACCTAAAGTCTTAATATGGTATTAAAGTCCACTACGCTCAATGAGCAATTCAATCTGTCTACATCTCAAAACGAGAAGTCGAATTCCAAAACTAATTTTCTCGAATGAGCCACTGCTTAAAGGTTTGGAATACTCCTCCTAATAAGGTTGATCTTGTAAAATTGAACCTTAAGATCCAATAAGTTCGCCCTCGATGCGAGAGGTACTTCAATCTGCTAGCTGCAATTTTTAACTATAATAAAGGAAAGGAGTGTGAGTGTTTTCACATTTGTCGCATTCTCCCCCCCAAGAAGTCAAAGAAAAAGTTGATCTCATTGTTCCGAGTCTCTTATATGGCCGAAGCCCTGTCTCTATGCGAAAGCTCTCTTGGCCGAAACACCCTTCCCATCCGAAGCTCTCTCTAGCCGAAGCGCTTGCTGGATTTTAAGGGATCTGTAAACAATCTCCAGGAATGATTAATGTAACGTTTATATTAATGAATGTCAGGAGTGTCGCCTAGGGTGTAGGACGGCTGACCCGTTGTCAATGTATTAAATGTATGAATGACAGAGTGATGACGCTTCGACCAGAGAGATGAGGTCACGTGGTTCTAATCAAACAGCTACCAAGTCAACCAGAACTCTATGAATAGGCAACTCTTGTAATTAATTGAGGGATAATGCCACTCTAAACACTTGAAACCATATTCAATCTTCTCCCTTGCTTATTTCATATTTATTTGCTTGAGTTTAGATTCCTTCTACTTTGGTTGAGTTATTTATGATTGTTTGCTTATTTGCAATTATCTTTGATCGTATTTTCGGTATTCTAACATTTTTGTCTCGTGTCGTAGAGCATGTCTCATGTCCATAAATGTCATCCTTTTCTGTCCGAATCTACAGTTAAAACGTGTTGAAATTTACTTGTATGGACGCGAGTGATCCAACATCGGTTGTCCATGTAACCATCACGGAAAACGGGGTCAACAATCATCATGCTTGGACTTGGATAGGCAGACAGAGAATCCGAGTGAAAGAAGTAATGAAAGTATTACAGTAAGATCATTTTCTATGGTGGCTAGCAGGGTTCTCAATCAGCTAACTTTAAATTGTTCCAAAAACATTATAGAGTAAATAACCAGATTAATCCAGAAGAAGAAATTCGGAAAAATCCCCGTATTAGAAGCCCTCAATTTAGCACCTAATTTATTGAAAAAATGTCCCAAAAATCTTGATAACAAGAATTAAACAACTAAAACCACCTCCTAAAAATCTCCAACCTTCACTTTCTCTCAATTCCATAATCATGAGCATATTACAAACAAAAGTAAAAAAAGGAGCATACACAGTCTGTATACACGTGTTTTTGTCAGTTTTGAGGAAAAGTACCTGAGTGTGAATCAGAAACGGGTTCTGATTAATTTGAAGAAGGGTCTCTTGAACTGCAATTTTGCAACAAATCTGAAGTAAAAAGAAGCTTCTGTGCTTTATTTTCAACAGTTTCACTTTTTTTTACCGTAGACTTGCTGCAAGCATGTGAGTTGTGCTTATGAAGAAAGAAGACTCGCTTTTTGTCTCTTCACGAATTTCTAACATCGTCAATTCTCTCAGGAAAAACAAGGGACCGTGATTCGGAAACTGCTGGCTCCCAAAATCCCAACTGGTGAAGTATTTTGTACTTCTAAAATTCACAAGGCGCTGATGATAAAAAAATGAGTGGAAAGAAAATATTTTTCTGAAAATTGTAATTAATTGTGTTTGATTAATATAATTTTTCATCTGAAAAATATTGAAAGTTTTGTATCTGTTTGATTTCGTTTTTCATGAAAATTGTCCATTAAAGTGATAATTTTTTTTAACATTAGGTCTAGAATTTGTTCCAATTGACAAAAAGTTCAAAAAAAAATTTGAAAATTTTTTTTTTACTATACCGAATATCATTCGTTTGGTTTTGTTAAAAAAAAAAAAAAAATAAAAAAAAAAAGAGGCTGGAAAATGAAAAACCAACCAAACCACAAAAAAACAAAATCCACTCACGCATGGAAAATGGGCGCATGAGTGGAATTTGTTGAAAGCCAATTCTAGGCAAAAACTTGTGTATCAAACACAACAAAAAGATGGAAAGGAAAAACACTTTCCATTTTCTAAGAAAAAGGGTGTGTATCAAACACACCCTAAAAAATTTTGACTAATACTTTTGGTGGGTATTTGATGGGAATTAAAATTAGATTTTAATATATTGTGATAGAAATCTTTAAAATGTGTGATTGAAAAATAGTGAAATCCATAAAAAAAAATGTGGTTAATATTAAAACCTTGTTTGTTTCTCATTAAAATCAGATTTTAATTTAAGTCAAAATCAGACAATCAATATTAATCATATCTTTCATAGGTCCCACATCTTTTCAACCACACATCTCAAAAACTTCTATCACAATCCACTAAAAATCTAATTTTAATCCCCACCAAACACCCACTACGACTTTAACTTAGGTTAAAATATAATTTTAATTCGAAACAAATAAGGTCTCAAAGCAATTTTCTATTACTCACTTTTTTTAGTACTTTTTTTTCTTCTGTCGTTCGTTCAAATAGTTTACAAAATTAAGCCTTTTTATTTAGACCGTGTTTGAACCACATTATTCTTCCAAGAATGCATTTTAAATAATATTTTGGTCGAAAAAATGTGAATAGAAAATAAATAAAAATTTTGAATTTACTTATAATATTATTTTATTAAAAAATATATTTTTAAAAAAATGGATATCAAGCATGGTATTAGTCTATCATCGAAATATGCATTTGTTAAAAATATAGAACTCATTGAAAATACAAGAATGAAATGAAGTGGTAGTGATCGTTATATTAGAATTTTTGTCACTATATTATAATGAGGTTTTTAAAAAGAAAATAAAGAACTAGAGAGTGCCCTTATGTCACTTTTAATGAACCTTTATCGGAATATTTCCATCAAATATACGTTAGGAAGAACAATATAATGGGATAAGACGATTCAATTTTCATATGAGATAGAGAAGAAGTTGAACCGTCATATCACATTATTCCATATAAGTTGTCGCATCATCGATATTTCATTATTTTAATAATAAAAAACATTATTCCTTTTTATATATAAAAATAATATTGAAAATTTAATTAATTTAAGGAGATGATAAATAGAGATAATTTAATTATGTCCACCCAAATATCCCGACGAGACAGATAAGGAAATGGTCGTCCCCCATTATCCCTACTTTCTATCCATATATTTTGTAATACTTACAATTTATTAATCATTTATTATTTATATATTTTCCATAAAACATGTAATTTATAAGTACTTAAAAATTTTAAGCTGTGCCAATCATTCACCAAGTAGAAGCAAGCTTTTTAAAAAAATTATTTTTGTATTAAATATTGAAAAACATATGAAAGAGAAATGTACTTGAAAAACCGAAATTGAGACAGAAAATCTTCCGTCCAAGGTTATGAATTCCAAGTTGCTTAACTATTAATATTTAATGATTATAATCCAATAATGATTATAATTCCACTCATTTCCCACTAGCCGAAGACCACAAGTAAAAGCCACCCACAAGTCAATTGGTATTATCGATCACACATTTTAGTGGGGTTGTAAAGTTTGTGACTTGTGTTGTCAATTCAAAACTTGTACATTTTTTAGAGCTTGTTTGGGAGAGATTTTTGAGGGAAGAATTGATTTTGAATAGTGATATGATGGAAAATGTGTGGTTGAAAAAAAAGAAAAAATTATTGATGTGATGGAAAATATTATTTTATTGAAGAATGTGTGGTTGAAAATGAGAATTGATTTACTGTAGAAAAATTTAATTCCTCCCAAACAGGGCCTAAGTAAGTTCTTGCTGTGAAACATGTTTTGAATTTTTAACTTACCTGTGAAGAAATATTTAGAGCTTGTTTGGGAGGGATTTTTGGGGGAAGAATTGATTTTGAATAGTGATATGATGGGAAATGTGTGGTTGAAAAAAAAGAAAAAATTATTGATGTGATGAAAAATATTATTTTATTGAAGAATGTGTGGTTGAAAATGAGAATTGATTTACTGTAGAAAAATTTAAAATCCCTCCCAAACAGAGCCTTACTAACCAACCGAATTTATCTAGAAACATTTAACTTGAAAAAGACTACATATTAAGATTGGATGCATTTGGATCTAGTGAAGATTCGCCCTTTCAAAGAAATCATTAGTTCCATATCAACTATAGAACCGACTGACATCGATGGTTCCGTTCCAGTTTGGTTCGATTCGATTCTTTAGTTTATATTTAAAGATTATAAAAATAAAGTATGAAATTACTTTTGGGTATCTATTATGAAGGAAATCGAACTGAACCACATATCGATGATAATATTAAAAATAAAATCATTGGTTTCATATTCAAATATAGAATCGAACCGGAATCGATTTCATTTTCGATTTCGGCCATGTCATATTCTTTATATTGAAAAATTATAAGGCCCTAATTGAAAACTGAAATTTTCCATGCAAATCTTCCATTTTCCAAGTTTTGGGCTGTTTGGTGGCCAACATTTTCCCTGGAATTCATTTTCCAATTTTCATTCTCGCACCTCCTTCGCCCACTTTTCAATGAAATTGTTTTCTTGTTGTTTAGGTGGTTTTTGATTTTCCACTTTTTTTTCATTGCAATTAGAAAAAATTCTAAACATAATGGTAAAAAAATTTATCACTTTTATTGATAATTTCAATGCAAAATAAAGTCAAACGGACACCAAACTTTCTACATTTTTCAGGTAAAAAATTATGCTAATTAAATACAATTAATTACAATTCCCTGTAAAACAATTTTTAAACAATTCAATTCTCTAAAACTCATTTTATTTCCACCTATTTTCCACATTTGCAATCTAACGAACCTTAAAAATAAAATATGAAACCATTGTTACATTGAAAATAGACAAAAATAAAGCATGAAACTACTTGACATTATTGTAATCTAACTATACAAATCAATTAAATAAAACAACAAACAAATATCCACTCTAAAACTCAAAATCAACTCATAAAGGGAAAAAAAAATAAAAAATGATAAAAGTATTAAATACAGCATAAACCATTAAATTTGAATCGAAAATTAATTCTTAAGAAAATTCATAGAACAATATAAATTAAAAATACGCGTAAAATGTATAACATGATTATCTTTAGTAATCCTCAAGTTTTGATAGTTGACCACTTTAAAAACAACCAGAAATTTGAGTTCTTCTGAAATATTAAATTAAATATATATATTTTTTTTCTATAGTGTTGCATTAAAGTTATAAATTTCAAGTTTATTTATAGAATTTTTTGGATTTAGATGTTTACTACCCATTAGGCTTTGTTGCAAAGGAAAGAAGAATAAACATATCCAAAATGAAATTTTGAAAAGATAATTTTGTAATCTAGTGTTTAAAGATTTGGTGCATTTTAATGCATTGCACCCAGCAAAAAGAGAAATTCGAAAAAATTGAATTCATTATTAATTCTCAAGGTGGTATTTAGAATCAAATCGAAACCAATTGATTCACGATTCGTGGTCCCAAAATCGACCATTTTACTAATTCTATCAAATTTGTTCGATTCAATCGGGTCCCCCAAAAAAATATCCACCCCTACTAATAAGTTTGCTTGATGGTAACATGTCACTTTATAGAGTGTCACTCTCAGAGTCATGCATGACACATGTTTAATTCAGAGATTGATGGTAATGTATGGAACAACTTGATGGCAGATGGTAATATATGCAACTAAACATAAATATCAAGTTGTCAACAATCGCCAAACTGTTACATCATCTCCAATAAGCTCTTTATTTGTTACATCTGCCTTATTTTAGAGTCTATCATCTCTCCTGTAGATAAAATTGAATTATAATTGAAAATGAGACTAAATTTAGATTTTCTTTCTATTGAATACCTCCCATTTAAATAGTTATAGTAGATATCACAAGTCATACTTGATTCTAAAATAGATCTTACCTGAGGATAGATGGGACTATTCTAGTGAGATAATAAATATGTAGATCCAGAGATTATACATTAGGATCTTGCCATCAAGTTGCAAGAGGATTCAAGCCTAAGACTCCTCTACAATGTATAAAATCTCGAGATAGAACAAGTTTTCATTCCAAACAAAGTAATATTACTCACAATACAAACCTCACAAGCGCATAATACTAAAATATTAACCTGTCAAACAAATTATTGATATAAACTAGCAGCACGTCATTTCCTCATCAGAATTCTAATAAACAGCCATTTGGAATTCAAAAAAATACATGAAAGATAATTTTCCCAGTGCCAAGGACACAGAAACTTTATACTAGAGAGCTCATACATCATAGGCGTGTAACAGAAAGATTATTAGAATGCTACCTCCACAACTGCATAAACCGTCATGAAGATAAAGAGAACATCAATTTTCTGAAGTGACCAGGGATCTAATTAGAATACGATTCATCAAAATGCTTCCACCTTTCAGTAGTAGGGCATGTAGCGCATTGGCCTCCTGAACCTCGGAAACTTCCTGCAACATGCAGAAACGTAAGTCACTTGTTTTTACTGGAATTACACTAGGAGATTGAGGTAAATGATGATTAGAAACTCACCCGTAACCATATGGGGGTACGTACGGCCTCCTGTATCTATATCCGAGGTAAGGATTGAAGCGCCTTCCACGATATTGTTTCATTCCAGGAACATTTGTCCTTTTTGCCATAACCTGCAAATGTGAAAAGTTATACACCAACCAGGCAAACGCTTACCAACAAAAAATCTCCATCTAGAAATTTTCTTTATTCTTGCCTCATAGACCCAACATTATTCATGTAAATTTCCACATAAACGTTGCCACATTTAAGATTCATTTGCTTACTAACAAGAAAGATGTAGTAACAACGTAAATATTCATTGCCATGTGGTTTTCTTTTGTTTGGTTAGTTGGGGGAGAGGGAGAAAGAGTAAATTTTGATTGACACACTTTTCCTTCTCTTGTTTCTTTTATCTNGCGGAGGCGGTGAGAGAGACATTAACCTTCAATTGACGTCCATGCAGTTCAGATTCGTTCAGCTGTAGAGCCTCTTGAACAGCTTCCTGTTCAAGAAATTCCACATATGCAAAGCCCTTGGGCTGCCCAAACTTATCAGTCAAAATAGTCACACGATTCACTGTTCCACATGACTGGAAATGCTGCTGAACTTCCTCGGGGGTACATGCATAATCAACCTGAAATCAATGAATGGCAAACTGAATGAATGATCTATTTCCAAGAAACTAATTTTACACATTTATCTCATACTATTTGATCCAAACCGCATCAGAAGACACTACCAGTGTATATGTGCAATGCACATGTTAAAGCAAGAACAAAGAAGAAATCATATCATCGTTAACACAGTTTTTCTAACCACCAATAGAAGTACTTTATCGTCCAACAGAATTAACTCCTCGGACAGGCTTGATTTTTCTATTTCATCCACATTAACAGGGACCTCTTATTTCATCCCAGTATGTCAATTCAGAACTAGGCATTACGTATTTACTTAAATTCTAACGCCCCACAGACATGAGCTTATCCTAGTGTGACATATTGCAGTATGTAAATGAAGAGCAAGAGATTACTGTTTAGTTGCAAATCTACCGTCTCCAGACATTCAAGGAAAACTCCTACATTTAAGATAATTTCCTCTTCCTCATATACAATCCCTATAAGAGGGAGGTTCGACCTCCTGCCCGGGATTAATTTTAATCTAGATAACCTCTTAATAATAAAGTTTCATGCCTATTTAAAATTATTCTAGCAAAACTAAATACAACAGTATTAGAAATTCATGTTTTGCTTTTCACATTCGTCAAATCAAAATTATTCAAAGCAAGGTTTTCAAGTTATCATATAATCCAATGGATACTGATTTGGATTAAAATTTTATCTAAGAAGAGAAATATTATTGCGTACTATTTAAGATATAAAGTAAATAAATTTCTCCCCTCTCTAACCGCTGAAAGCTTTATATAAGGTGTTTAACACAATATCATAGCAGCAAAAGTTAAATAACTTCAAGTCTCAATGCCATCTATTAATGAAAATTCCTTAATACAAGCGAGACTGAAACGTTATATTTCTTTAAAATAGATGTATTTCATAAACGGATCTTGATAGAACCACGCCATTTGTAGAAAATGATTCAGAATAATGAAAACACAAAAAATTTATAATTAAGGGTTGAAGAGCATTTCTTAAATGGTTCTTTTGTCAGTGATCTGAACACAAAAGGGACAAATAAAATAAGGCTGCAATGAAGTAATGACACCTCACCACATAAGGTTCAATAACAAATCAAATCTGAGGCATTGGCGTCCACCACCCACCATCAGCAATGACCCTTGGACAATATAGGCATGGCAGTGACTAGCCTCTTCATATGCATATGGATTTATACTCTTGTGCATTATGTGGAATTTTACATCACAGCATAACTACATAGTTTCAACCACTCACAAAACTTTGGGCGTTGAGAAAGGCAGAAACTAGCTCTGCCCCTGTGCAGATTTTCAAACCTTTTTCAATCACTACATGACCCCATTTAGCATTCACCTTTTTTTTTTCCCTCTTCCTTTTCCTTTTCCTTTTCCTTTTTTTCTTTTTTTCTTTTTTCACCTTTTTTTCTTTTTTCCTTCTCTCAAAATACTTTTATATTTTTTACATGGGGACTTGACAACATTTTTCCTCTTATTATTTTTGTCTGTTCCTTTTTCCTTCTTTTTTTCCTTTCCAAAATTTTTTCCCACTCATTACAGACAGGCACGTATGAATATCCTAGCTAAAAAGCCAGCCTACTTAAAGGCAAAAGAACTCCTTTCACCATCAATACATGGTTAATTCCAGTGCTATTCAGGTATAAAATGACCTGCGGTAATAGCAAGACAAGTCAAACCCATGACTCCTGAAAAGCATCCAAATCCAACAAAAAATATAATTTGAGCAAATTGCAGGATACGTAACAAAATAGTAAAATGGAGAAATAACTTAGAGTACAGTTTACAAGAATTTAGGATGCATTAATACTGAAATAACAAGAGGACACAAACTAGCAATTTCAAATGCAGTCCCAAAAACAGAAGTAAAAAAAAAACCAAGCAGCACAAGTATCAACTCCAATCTGACTGGATCCTACCAAAACATAAGTCCACTGCCTAACCAAAGAGATTCTATGATTAACAAATTACTGGTTTTATGATATTCATGAAAACCAATGTTTAAATTTCAAATCAATAAAGATCCATTTGATAACTTGAATTAATTTAGAGCTTTTTCTATTTTGTTTCAAATATCTGAAAACAAGAGTTCTTATGAACAACTAGAAATGTAAAAGAAAATACGAAGATGTTTTATCATGTAAAGCATCTGAAAAGACAGTCATCAAAGAGAATGTAACACTTGATCCTTACATTGCCAACATAAATGGATCGTGAATCGACCTCCTCCTTTGCCTGTGAAGCAGCAGCACCAGTAGGATCTGCAAAAGACCAAAATAAATAAACTGTGGAATCAACAAATTGTGAAGGAGAATGAACAAAGATATCAAAAGAGCAACTAAATCATTGTTTTTCGATATTAATTACAGAAAGAAGGCAGTGACTATTTCATATTACAAGAAAATGCAGCCAACAATCAGAAAACAATTGCTAAGGCACATAAACTCACTGAGTCACTGTGGCTATTTCATGCACACCAATATCTGTTTCTCATTTTTACTTGTAACACTTGCTTCCTGATGGCATACAGGAGTTTTCTATGGAGATGCCTTCGGTTCTGTTACATCTACTCCAACTCACAGATTGTTCCTGCCTTCCATCATTTACAGTCTGCAGAAAATAATTGTCCCTATACCCTATCTTTTCCTTTTAACTTTTCCCATAAAAGAATACAACTTTTGAAGTACCTGAGTTCTAATTCTTATGTTGTCCACTAATGCTAATTGTTGCCATGCAGTGCTGCCTATCCTATATTATGTCCTTTTATGGCTGCTCGGTTGTGAACACCTTTCAGTAGCCTCCTCTCTCCCTCCCTCTCTCACATATACAAGTGTGCACACTCATAGAGAGCGAGAGACCAGCATCTCCGGTTAATTTTAGAAAAGTTGGTGACTATACAGTGCTTAACAAGTCAATTTTTTCTTTAAACTTTGTAGGTGGGAATTGATCAGCTTTGTTATGCCAGCCATTCATCTCCCTAAATTTTAAATGATGAGTTTTCAAATTACCTGCTTTGTCATGCTAAGAAAAAAATCTCAAAATCGTTCAAAGTGGTTAAAATAGATGGTTCGAGTACGAATATTATGCACATCTAGTTACTATTTTTGACGGATAAAAAGTTCTGAACCGAAATTCGAGAAAGAGAACCCAAACGAATTTTTTTCGATTTCATAAGCGGATTTGACTTCAAGGTTCCAACTACATGTTATGTCGATACGCCTATTTAAAAACAATAGCATCTCAAGGGTCTACAGGAAAAAAAATAATAATAATAAATAATAATAATAATAATAATAGATTTTACATATGCCTTCATTTACAGGAAAAACAGGTTTGTGCATATGTATTTTGGCCAAATAAAACAGATAAAGAGATCCAACAATAACAATAACAATAACAATAAAAAATAACAATAACTATAACAATAACAATAAAAATAATAATAATAATAATAATAGATTTTACATATGCCTTCATTTACAGGAAAAACAGGTTTGTGCATATGTATTTTGGTCAAATAAAACAGATAAAGAGATCCAACATCCATAATTACAAAGTCATACACACTTGCAGTTGATTTATTTCTAAAAATAAAATAAAATAATAATAATAATATTTGCAAGAATATAAAGAAAATCCCCATTATTTTTATCCAGTAATAACACTTGCTAAGCAAACAAGCTCCTCTGAGATTAAAACTACATTTTAAAGGAATAAAAGAAAATGCAATCCATGCCCATCACATAAATTCTGGCCTAACTTATGATAAACAATAATTAGAAACCCTAGAGCAAGCTTTCAAATTAAAAATAAAAAAGAAAATACCTTGAACAGTACCCATCTCCTTTTCAACTTTCGCCTGCATTTCGCGAAGAGCTGCAGCTTCCTCTTCCATTTCTTTCAGTCGCTTCTTCATCTCATCCAGCTCCTACAATTTCCCAGTCACTCAAGACCTAATTAATCAAATTCAATAGGCAAACATCCACACAAACACACATATACACACTCATCGAGCTCCCACAAATTCCCACATCCACTAGGCAGTTGGACACAATTAATCAGATTCAATAGGCACCCCACCAACACACGCAGATATACTCATCTAATTGCTACAAATTCCCAAATCCACTCAGACCCAAGCGATCAAATTCAATAGGCATCCTCCCAGCCACAAGCTCGAGAGTGCGGGCACACGCACACACAAAACAGAGAGTACCTTGACGGCGTCGTCATCAGCGGTGGTCATCTCGACATCGGCATTGTGAGGGTCGACATCTTCCCCTTCGTCAGGTATTTCTCCCCCGTACACCTCATGCTCCTCTTCCTCCATCTCTCTCTACTCTTGCAGAAAATCAGTTCTGTTGTCACTGCTCGTTTATGTACATGCCCATGGATGTGCATTTTTGGGTCGGATAGGTGGGAGAAATTATTGGAAATACCCAAAATTGCGTTTTAGGACCTCACACTAATGGCATCAGAGCCATAAGAAAATAGAAGATAATAAAGAAATTTGCGTAGAATGATATGTTAACAATTCTACTGAATACTTAGATAAAGATTGTTATATTCAACATCTTGTTAATAAATCAAGAAATTTGATTGATAAAAAAAAAGACTCA